TGAAGGTCCATCATGGAAACACCTGACAGACGTGAAGGTCCATCATGGCAACACCTGACAGACCTGAAGGTCCATCATGGAAACACCTGACAGACGTGAAGGTCCATCATGGCAACACCTGACAGACCTGAAGGTCCATCATGGAAACACCTGACAGACGTGAAGGTCCATCATAACAACACCTGACAGACGTGAAGGTCCATCATGGAAACACCTGACAGACGTGAAGGTCCATCTCTGCAGTTTGACAGTTTAATTTTTCATTATCACGGTTTCTCTGAATTGTTTACTCACAAGTTCTGGTCCTGGAGACACCATGACCACAACATGTAACTCAAGCACCAACTAACATTCTAAAACGCACTTTTTCCAAAACACTACACACAGTTTTGTTGCATTCGGCACAATTTTCATGAAACAAATCTCTTGTTTCAACAAGGAAGACATTGTTATTTAAAATTGTAACATGTATTTTCGTACTCTGCACACTGAGTCATCACACAGTTTTACAATTAGCTATCAGAGCTTCAGCACAAAAGGAGAACAGGTGAGGTGTTCTGTTTTGGAGCAATGGATGTCATTGTTGGAAACAGACCGAGCCTGAGGAGTGAGAGAAAGAGGAGGAGAACGGGGAGGACGAGGATGAGGAAGGCCAAGGACTGTAATCTCTGATGAGATCCGAGTCACTGTGGTTGACCATGTGCTCAGCCATGGTCCAACAATGAAGCAGGCTGGACAACGAGCACAGCCAATTTTGAGCAGGTGTAGCATCCATCATCTGGACTTTACTACATAATATAGGAAAGAAATGTACTCTCACTAGAAAACTGCAGTACTGCAAATCAGTATTGTACTCAGTGAGTACAGTAGTATAGTAGTGCCTTTGGACTTTTCTGTAGGACTGTAAAAATGAAGTATGTTTCAAGTCTTTGTGAAAGGTATTTCTACTATGTATTTCTACTTGGTAATTACAGTATTTTACTATTTGTATTGCAGAACTGAAAGATTACCAACACAATGTGGACGGGAACGTCTTCTGTCTCCACAACAGGAAATTGAAATTGTGAACATGGTCCTAGAAAATAATGTCATAGCATTACGGAGAATACAAACAAAAATAATGGAAAACATTGAGATATTTCAAAATAACAATAAGGAAAGCTATAAACAGTGTAGTGTGTCTCGAGCAGAAATAACCTGGGGATGAATCAGGTTTACAGAACAAAAAAAGAAACTGTCCCAATGACCTGACTGAAAAGTGTTGGATTGTCTACCTGGATTATTGAGCATGGACTTTGTTGTTAATCAGGTCTACAGGCTGCCACTTGAAAGAATTGGGATATAACGATGTGCAAGTACGTCCAATTCAATATACTCCAACTATACACAACTGATGCATAATCTCAACATTGTATACATTATTCATATTTCAGCATTGTACTATATATATATGTGTGTGTGTGTGTGTATATACATATATATATATATACATATATATATATATATATATATATATATATATATATATGTATGCATATATATTACCCTGATGCATGCTCAATAATCCAGGTAGAAAAATCTAAAAATGGACCAGATTTAACTTTTTTAGACATATATATTACCATTTATTTGTATGTTCTGAGTGCAAAAATAGCATTCTAAACTATTTTACCACACACTGATGTACAGTATGTATTATCTGTACTAAGTGTAACGCAGAACAAAAAAAGGGCCTGTCATTAAGATGACTGGATAGAAGTGTTTTACACAGAGTACATCAGTGAGTAGTGAGGTCAGGACAGCTTTGCTGTAGACACACTACTAATTAATTATTCTTAAAGCTAGTTCAAGCACAAAGAATATTAATTATTTAAATACAACGGATTCTTTCTTTTTCGAGTTAAATTTCTGCCATGTGACCGAGATAACTGTGAGGATTGTTTAATCAGTGACATGAGACGCCATTTTATCTTTGACCCATCAGAATAAATGTGGTCATTTATTTAACAGAATCAAAATTTAACATCAAAACATGTACACATTGATTTGCTGATCTGTTCTGATTAATAAAAACTTGGCACGCTTTACTAACAAGACAACAGAACATTACTGATCGAGGCTGATTCACCTCTGAAGGCATCTAGATTACTGGCAAATAGAAAAGTTACAGAGAAGACATAGATTTAAAGATTTAAAGAGGTTTAGATGGAAGCTATGTGTGAAACCAGAACTTTGCACCCTTCCTCCGACACCCGCTCAGCTTTCCAGTACACTTCAGGACGTGCAGAGACTTTGTTACCTTAGATGAAGGTTACCTCCTCTCCGGAACAGAAGTCCATTAGTACGATCCCTTTACAGCGTCTCCGGTTAAAGTAGCTGGGAATCTTTAGAATAAATGCATATACTCCGTTCCACCGAATAAGCTTCCTTAGAAGTGGCGCATTTACTGCTCTGGTTGAGTGCACAGCGATGCGAGCCGTGACTCCGCTAAATGGACGGACCCTTGTCTCACGGTCAAATCCATCAGCTATTGATTAAATCTGAAAGTTCCTTAGGAACTCTCAGTAAGACTCCAGTCAGAGATTCCACTCAGAAGTGGAAGACTCCTGGGAAGACTTCATAGAGGAAGACTGAAAGAGGACTCCAAGAAGACTGAAGGAAGACTGAATAGTCCCAGGAAGTGTTGACTTTTTAAAGAGTACTCACTTCCTGTCACTTGGCACTTCCTGATTGGTTGAAACAACCAGCAGGGGGTGGTTCTAGTGATGTCAAGAGGGTCACTAGAAGTCAAAAAGACAGCAGGAATGTTTACGAACGGTTAGTACAGACAGAGAAATGTTTATGAAGAGGTGAGACAAAGCAGGTGCCAGTTGAAGTTATTTACTGTCTGCTAGTTTTAAAAACAAGACACTTCGTTCTAATAACTCGTCTCTGTTTGTCTCTGACTTTCGACCAACATCACTACTCCTCATTCAGACAGAAGATCAAAATGGACAATTACTTCGTAAATAGACATTTAACTGTTTTATCCAAGTCTAATGAGGTTTAAAAATCATTAATACTGTTTCACAGTTGATTTAAATGAGTGGTTTACTTCAACATTTAGAAATGGTATGAACTAAACACACTTTTGATTTTTCAAGATATTCTAAAATAATAATGATAATGTAAAAAGAAGAGTGTTCTTTCAATTGATTAATTCAGGATACAATTAAAAAGTCTCTTGATGAGATAATTTGTATTTCTGGATTCAGATCAATGAAATAACAGTTCATGTCCCCTGAAGGTCTTCAGAGACAGATTGAGGTTGGAGGTCTAGTTCACTACAGTCCCCCCTTTGGAAATCATCGCCTGTCCATGGGGATGATTTCCAACATGAACTTACACCTCCGAATGTCCTTGATTTTGATGTAATCCAGCAAGAGGAAAACAAAAGTCAAAGAAGGTAATCCCACAATGGTTTAGGTAATTCCACAATGTTGTTGGTAATTCCATTATGTTGTTGGTAATTCCATTATGTTGTTGGTAATTCCATTATGTTGTTGGTAATTCCATTGCAGCAATGCTTTAACCCCTTGGAAACAAAGTCTGTAATCCACTGGAAAAAGTCATATAATCCACAACGATAAATCCACAACGATTGGAGGTGTTGAATGATCAGCATGCAGAGGGTTCCCTCGATTGAACTGAAGAGGCGACCACTGGATGGAGTTTTGAGACCCACGTTGGAGTTGTAGGTCCCTTCAGCGAAGGTTGCTGCTGGTGGTTCCCAGTGGGTGCCATTCTGGTTCTATGTGTTATGCATTTATGTGGTTTTAGTTGGGCTTATGAGTGGGATTTTACATAAGACCTTAACCTATATGCACCTGGTATGTAAGCTGGCATGGTTTAGATCAGCTACAGGTACCAGTGAAAGGGTGGGTCATGCTGAAAAATAACATATAGGAATTTATACCTATAGAAGGGCATTCCAAACTATTCTTCCATTCCTAACTTGGTTTAAGTTAGCTTTACATGGCAAAATATAGTTTGGTTCAATTGTCTGTTGTCCCTTTAGACGTACGACTTGAGGTTTGTTTTTTTGGTTTCCCCCTAAATGTTTTTGGAGTCTATGGCGAGACTCAACTGAAGGATTAGGTAGCCCCCCCCGAACAGGATTGTTCGAGTAGGTTCGGCTTGAGCGTTGTGAGACCAATGTAGATTATGGTACTTAAGGTAGCATTAATCTACATAGACTCCTAAAAGGTTGAAGTTTAACAAATGAACTGCATGTTCAGAAACAATACCAAAAACCAAATAAACGATGTCTCAACATCGACAAAAGTAGTGATTAAGCAACTAGAAAACGACGTTTCAGTGCGTCACTCACTCTGATTGTCAGATTTGATCCCGTTAACTGGTTCTTATAAATATTTATTCATATGATGGTTTGTGTGGGCCATCTGAGAACAAAATACCATTTAGAGAAGAGATTACATTGTTTTGAATGTAAAGTTTCATTTTGAGGAGAACTGAGGGGTTTTGTCCATTGTGTGTGTGGTTTTTGGACTAGTGTGTAGAGTTCTGAAGTTATGAGGCACACTTTCAGAAAATGTGTATAAACAATTGAGAAAAACTGTAACTAAAGCTATAAAGTACCTTTGTTCGGTGGTTGGCTTGTTACATTACAGATACAATCAGCTGATTACAGATACAATCAGCTGATTACAGAACAATCAGCTGATTACAGATACAATCAGCTGATTATAGAATAATCAGATGATTATAGAATAATCAGCTGATTACAGATACAATCAGCTGATTACAGAACAATCAGCTGATTACAGATACAATCAGCTGATTATAGAATAATCAGATGATTATAGAATAATCAGATGATTACAGATACAATAAGCTGATTACAGATACAATCAGCTGATAATTGAATAATCAGATGATTACAGATACAATCAGCTGATTATAGAATAATCAGATCATTACAGATACAATAAGCTGATTACAGATACAATCAGCAGATTACAGATACAATCAGCTGATTACAGATACAATCATCTGATTATAGAATAATCAGATGATTATAGATACAATAAGCTGATTACAGATACAATCAGCTGATTATAGAATAATCCGATGATTACAGATACAAGAAGCTGATTACAGATACAATCAGCTGATTATAGAATAGTCAGATGATTA